TTGTATTTTTCCTTTTGCTGTTTCCTCTGCTGATGCCCCTCAGCCTGATTGCTGTGTCATGTCTCTGTTCCACAGCTGTACTACAGCTTTCATTCTACACCTGAACTTTTTTTACACCCCCTGCCTTGAATCTGGGCAACAACGCAGTTGCACTTTATCCTCTCAAACCTCTTTCTTCTCCCAGTGTTCTGCTTTGGACTAGCTTTCCAGTCATGACCTTTGCTCTGTGACTCCTGTCATCTTACAGGGCTTTATTTTTTCTAGTTAGCAATGTTAATGAAGTTGGGTTTCAGTGTCTGTTTGGCTGTATTATCTGGCAAACAATCTAAAGGTGTTGATTTAGATTCTTCCCAGCTACCCTCAGGGATCAAATTAGGAGCATGGGGTGCCCTAGGTTGCCACTGTGGTTAACGAGAGAGACAGAGGCCCAACTGAAGAATGGCCTGGGCTATGTAGAAAAGGGACATTTACTCTTTATTTGCTTCTTTCTTTCCCCATCTGCCTAACGCTTTAGAAGACAGCACAATTGTTTTTTCTAAGTTGCATGCCCAAAGCTGTGGGAAAAATTATGTTTATTTCCACATTTGTGTATTTACTGGTTTACACTAAATCCTTTTAGTGTGAGGTATTTCTTGGCTTTTAACATTTGGTGTCTTGATGTCTGGGAGTTTTTTCAAGTGTTCTTAAGCAAAGGACTCTTAAAAATAAAATAAAATAAAAAAATTAGTAGCGTGTGGGGTAGTGTAAACAGCTATATTTGGCATGATCTCAAATTTACTGTAAGCTTTTCCACTCTTAGTTATTTTGCTTATATTTTAAGAAAGTAACTCTTGGGAGATCACAACTTGAAAATCACTGGTTTAGATCATGTATGTTCTGAAACTATGTCTTGGTCCTTCAGTTTTGTGATGTTACAGACACAAATGATACTGCACCTATACAAATCCTCTTTTTTTTTTTTTGCCTCCTAGCGAGCAGTTCTTCAATTCACCTTCTTCAAGAGAATCCAGTAAAGGAAAAATCAAAGGCTTATAACAGTAACGAACCTGAGAAACTAGCAGGGCATCATAAACCAGACATTTATACACTGTTAAAAGGTAACAATACTAGTTTTAGCAGTATCTGTTCCATAATGTAACATATAATGGCTTGCATGTGCTAAAATGACATTCTTTCAGCTCTGTTACAAAAGAGGGAGTTGTTGAGTTGAAATCAATGGATGAAGAAGTTTAATAAAAAAAAAAAAATCTGAGGGTGTACTCCCACCCATGAGTCAAATTAAAACTGATTGTAGTATAACAGTAATCTCCTTGGGTGTAAAACCTTAAAGTTCAGAAGGTGTCATGTTACTTTGATAAACACAGTTATTTGGGTTTTTTTAAAAGCAAAACAAAAAGATGAGCAATGTAATACCTGCTTCAGAAGCTGTTACAAGAATGGATCTTCAGTTGCTTCAGGCAAAGCAAACCAAAACTGTTCCTTTTCATAGAATCATAGAATGTTTTGAGTTCAAAGGGACCTTTCACATCCTTTGAATTTTATCATTATTGCATCATTACTTTTTAAAAGAAAAAATAGGAAGATTTTGTGTCATACTGGGGAAAGCAGAGTGAATGTCCAAATTAAGCCCTTTTAATTAGGTAATGGTAGCTTTCTCCATCTACAGAGGGCTCTGAGAGGCTGTCATGTGGCACAGGCTTTGTTTGGCAGCATGGTGTATACTCCTTCCCTATTAACCTTGGGAAGATTTCACAGAAGTAGCTAAAAGCATGCATGGCTTGTCTGTCTTACTCAAACCTCTGATGTGATCACCAAGTTCTTTAATTTATGCTTTGGTTTCAGAAAAGATTGACTTCCTTGAGCAAAGTCAAGAGCACCACTCAACTGCATCACAGAGTGAGTTGAAAGTTGATACCTGGTCTTTCCTCATGAAAAGCACAGAATTCTTTTCCTTTCCTTTGCTTATTTTTTGTCTTGTGCCCTGGGACACTGTCTGGGAAGGTAGAAAGGGACCCAGGAGGCAGATCCAAATGAAACCTTAGAGAAGACAGCACATTCAGGGCCAGAGCCCTTCTATGAGGTTATTGAGCTTGCTGACCACAGAAAATGACCCGATTCCTTGTGGTTTTGGATTTTTATCTTTGATTGTTTTTGTGGATTTGTTGGTTTGGAGTTTTTTCCCCCCCTTTTGGAAGAGTACTTGAAAGAAGAGGAAAAAAATGTTCTAAATTATAAGTAGCATTCTGTTCTTAATGTCTCAGTGCTTATTTCCATCCTGAATAGGTACAGATAAACAAAGTCTTGTAAGTCAGAAATCAGGCTGGAGAACTTGGTGAGGTCATCTGGGTAGGTTTTTTTGTGTCTGTGGTGGTGGTGGTTTTTTTTTTTTTTCTGGAAGAGAAGCTTGTCTTGTGATATCTGCACATCTGTGAAACGTCTTTGAAAAAAGAATTGATTCAGGGAGTTCTTGCTGCCGTGGTACTTTTCTTTCTTGTGCCAGAGGTAATAGGTGCTGTAGGAGTGACTGGTTGTATGTTGGGTGAAGAACTTCAGAGAATCACTTGAAACTCTAAAAGCTCTAAGTTATCTGCAGAAGTTATGCCTTTTGAGTTAGGCAAGACAAATAATTTGCTTGGCCTTTGTGCAAATTGTCTTCTAAATACAGCAAGACACTTAGGAAAGGATCTGTTTTTACACTGTTTATTGAAATATGTTTTCTTTAGGGTATGAGTAGCAGCTGTCTCCTAAATAAGAATCATAGTCTCTGCAAACAAGGCTGCATTGTCAAATATTACAGAACTGAGGTGATTTTGATCTGTTAACTATTAAAAGACTTACATAAGCTTAGCCAGCTACAAACTCCATCTCTGTACCCTGTTGGGGTGGGCGGTTGAAATTACAGAATAGCATAGCTCATTAAGCCAGTTAAGCCCCAGCTTAAACCAGAGCTGCTTTTAGCACCTTCTGTGATTACATTCATACAGAAACAAGGTTATAGAATTTATTTTAGTTCTCTTGAAATAACTACTGCAGGGTGTGATTGTTCAGTTTATTCTCAATAGTGCCATTGATGGTATCCTGATTTGGTTATATATTAGTAAAGAGCCTTCAGCTTTGAACCAGTTGCTGTAGTTCACAAGGAGCCAGAATTTCTTGTGTCATTTTAATTAACTGACTAAGTGCAGAAAACTTGCTTACCAATAATTGCACTGTATGTATTCATACTGGTCTCTTGGGAAAGTTGTTCATAACACAGTCTTATGGATTATGTCTATGGTACTTTGCTGTCTGAGCCCATTTAAATAGACCAAAAGTATGTTTTGAAGTTAAAAGCTTACATTTTGCTTCAAAAAACACAGTACATCCCAAGAAACTGACTGCTTATGAAACAGGCTTCAGACCCAAGCTAGATGAAGAGTGGCATGTGAGGCTAGGCCTTTAACATACCCCTTCGCTTTTGCTACTTATGTCTTGCATTACGTGTTTTTTCTACTCTGTATGTTAATTGAGCTTCCATTTTTATGTCCCTCAATCTTGAGGAAAACCAGGAAACTTAACTGGGACATAGGATCCTTATGCAGAAGATACCAAGTTGTTAAATCCATGCCATTTTGTACTTGAAATGACTCCATTCTTATTTGCTAACTTGTCAAGAGTTAAAAATCTTTGGGGGTGATTTGTGATAGGTTGGGGACTTGTGCTTTTTATCCAAGAGTGTCAAGGTGGCTTAAGAGATGATGTTTGGATGGAGAGTTGGATGTAACTTCTCAGGCTAGTAATAGTGATGAATGTGTAATTTTCCTTGTTCCAAGACCAGCCTTGCTTGAGCACAGGAGGGTGGATGATGCACAGAAAGCCCTCCACTGGATGCGGTTGTACCTGGGATGAGGCCTTTGCTCCTGCTTAGCAGGACAGCATTTATTTCAAAAAGGTGCTACACAAGGGTGCTTTCTTAACCTTTTTCATTGAAAATAAAGCAGTTTGATTTCAACTCCCTGCTAAAATTGGTTGTAATTATGGTCTTAGTATTTGTCTCATGTCCCTTTCTTAATCTCTTACCAGGCAGAAGTAAATTTCAAGCTCAATCCAGTAAAGGGAAGCAGTCACAGCCTTTGGCCAAAAGTAAGACTTCTGCTTTCACTTCTATTTCATGCGTGTGTTACATTTAACCATTTTTATGCCTGTCCAAGTATTAAATTTCCTGGTAGCTGGTGGTAAACTGAGAGTTCTTGCCGGAACAGATGCCTTGCTTGCTAGGGCATGTGTTTTCAGCACGAAGGAAGGAAGAGTGTTGTATAGCAGGTAACGGTTCCACCTGAACTTAAGATCTTCAGTCTGTAGTGTTTACAAGATTTGCTGCAAGATTAAAACTGAGGCAGGCCTGGTGGTGTTCTTATTTAACAGTTGTCTTGCTGTCCCGATAAACGAGAGGATATGAAAAGGTAGCATAACATATACAGTTCTTTTCTGTTTCCAGGGGAGTTGGTATATTTTGTCACTAACTTTACTGGGAGCAGTCGAGCCTTATGCTTATAGTAGGTCAAACAAGTGTTAATTTAACTGTTCAAATACAAAACCAAATAAAAATCCCTGATATTCGATATGCTTCCTGTGCATTGTTTACTGTGTGTGCTCTTTATGAAGCTGACTGATCCAAAGACCACAAACATTTTTTGATGGTGTTGATCACCAGTGTTTGAGATGCAAATACTGCTGCAAAAACTATTTTTATCCTCATGGGGATAGGGAGGAGAAATAATACAGAAACCACTCTTCAACTACTGTGCTGATACCTTGCAAGTGGGATGAGTTCATTGAATTTTACTGTTTCCTCTTACTTTCCTCTCTCTTGATGACTCCTGATTCTTCTTAAAACATTGCTCTCTTCCGGTTTGCTCCTCCTTTCTCTAGATGATGGTCCATGTGGATTTCACAAGAGCTGGACTTTGTTACTGGTTCTGGTACTTAGTGTCCTGTTGCTTTATGTTCTGTGGAGTGGAATGCCAAGTCTTCTAGATGCAACTTTGTCAAGTAGAGATGCTCAAATTCTGCAAGAGTTTCGAGCCCGGATGAAGAAACTACAAAATACTTACCAAAGTCAGGACGCCAATCTGTGGAAAAGGACCCGCAAGTCCCTTGAGAAACGTCTTAATGCTTCCCATCTGCACTTGGAGCCAGCCATCTTACTGTTCACAGCTGGCCAAGAGGGTGAGAAGGTGCTCAGGTGCCTAAGCAATGAGATTGCTGATGCTTTTGCCTTCTCCCAGAATGCTACGACAATCAAAATTGACGGGGCAGACAAAACCGTATTGGACAGTGACCGTGTCAAGCTGGAGGTAGATAATGAGCTCAGCTCTGGGTTTAGAGAAGGTAAGAAGGTAGCAGTGGTGCATCGATTTGAGTTGCTGCCTGCAGGCTCCACCTTAATCTTTTACAAGTACTGTGACCATGAAAATGCAGCTTTTAAAGATGTGGCTCTCCTGCTGACCGTTCTCCTGGACGAGCAGTCGCTGACAAAGAGCCTCACCTTGAAAGAAGTTGAGGAGAAAGTCCGGGATTTCCTCCAGGTGAAGTTTACCAGCTCAGATGTTTCTACTTCTTATAACAGCATGGACACAGATAAGCTGAGTGGACTGTGGAGCCGTATATCTCACCTTGTGTTGCCTATTTGGCCTGAAAAAGGCCTCCCTATGGAAGGATGCACATAAAAGTGCATGGAGAGGACTCGGGGGAAGGAGGAAGACAGAAAATGTATATTGCAATGGCTGAACAGGGAAGAACTTACTGTGACTGCTGTGAGCACAGACAGCACACGGTCCTTTCCGTGCAGAGAAATTCCACCAACTGGCAGGGTTGTTTCTGCTAAGTAACTGGGACGTCTCTAAATCAACTCCAGAATGTAAGCAAGGAACTTGGTGATTTTTGGTAAGTTGTGTTCGTTGACATAGTGCCTTGGAGCTGGAATTAGGTGCCCACTAGTGCAGAACCACTCATCTGCTCCTGAAGCTGTCTTGGTGCACTACTGGCTTTGTTATGAGGATCCTTTTCTGGGGGTGCATAAAGCTGGTATCATGTTTGACAGGGTAGTAGGATGCGAAAATATCACCTTTATCTGCCAGAATTGCTTTGTTTTTCTTCTAACATAAGAAAAAAAAAATTATGAAGAAGTGATGGGAGCCCAAGCACAAGCTTTTTCTTGATCTGTCTGATTGCAACAAAAATGTTGACTGTCTCTGGGAACTTCTGGAAATGGCAAAATATTTTGAAACACTTGTGACTTGTGGAGAACCTTTCTGTAAATGTTTCTTCATTAAATGAACTTGCCCCAAACAGTTCTGGAAAGTGAGAAAAGCTGGGGTATGAAGGATTGCTTGACATTAGTAGTACTGACATAGGTGAACTAGTCCTTCAGCACCTCTGCCTTGCTGCTTCCACGAATTCTCTGCTCTTTGTCCAAGTTCTCTAAGTCTTAAAATTTGGGGGAAGTAATAAAGCATCAGCTGTGTGCGTGTCCTAAAGACCTGTTGCATCTCTTCCAAACAAAAGTTTAGGAAGACATAAGCTATTTCTCATTTTAATAAAATAACTATTTTTTCATCAAGAGAATTTATTTATTTGTGGTACTTGATATCCTAGAAAAATTACCTTTCTTCACGTGTCTGTATAACCTGCTGCTTGCTGTATAAGCTTCTAGTGAAGAGCAGATTTGCAATGCGTGTTTTTAAAATACATTTTTTTTTTTTGAGTGCCTCATGCTGAGAATCACACCAGACTAAAAACACATACTTGTTTCTATTGAAAATATTTTGTTGAAAAAAAAAAGAATTGCAGCACTTCCATTTCATTGCTGTTGGTGTATGCTCTCTTACTATTGGTCCATGTGCATTTGGTTTTATTGAGTATGAAGGAACATGTGAAGACTGCTCTCAAATTCATAGGACGTTTTCTTGTAACAGATGAGGGATGGTGTCTCTTGGACCTGTCCTTTATTCACAAACCCCTTGAGCTGCTCTCTTGCAAGAAGTCCTTCTTAACCAGGAAGACTTTCTGAGGTGCTGGAGCTCCTGGCTTCTTTGTGCAAGCAAAGATTTGGGGTGTTAAGTGGGATGGGCCAAACTCAAGCATATAAAAGAACGCAGTTTGAGAGACAGAGCTATGGTTACTTAAACCAGGGGTGGATTTGTTCTAACCAAGGAGAAGCTATAATGGGTAGTGCTTTTTATTTTAATGGGAAGAAATATAAACAGTAAAAAGACATGGAAGTGCTGCTGTTCTGGATGTTTTCAGAATAGCTCAGGAAGGAAAAGATGGCATTTTCATTTTGGACATGTTCTTTAAGAAACAGCTGTGACTTCCAAGTGTATTCTGGCAGCATATTTGTTTGTATATTATGTAAACTATTTTAGTAATCATTAAAAATATAGTTGTTTGTTTTATAAGTTGTTTTAAGATTTGCCTGTTGAATTTTAAGTGGTCAGACTTTTTTTTTTGTTCATATTTTAAGATTGTTCCTTTTACATTTGACCAAATACCACGAAAACACAGCCTTTTGCAAAATTTAGAACTTCTAAGAAACCTGAATGTAGCGGTAGACACTGGGATGCAGATGCATGTATTTGGCAATTTCAAGGCTTTTCTCTGACAGGGAACATTTCAGGAAGAAATAATAGCTCTGAATTGTCTTTTACTTGGTGTTCTTGTAGTAATTCCTCAGTTCTGGTTTCGGCTGGAACTAATGATAAGATATGGTTCATTTGTTTCATTAGTCTGATACAAGAGTCAGCAGCTGACAAAAGCGATGACTTCATTCTTGTTCCACTCCTAGCTGCATGTTCCTGCACCTCTGCTGTTCCAAAGTAGTGCACTGTGAACTGACTGGAGGGACTTCCTTACTGGCAGAACTGGCAACCACAAAAATAAAGACTAAGCTATGACATGAAGACACAATGTATGTAATACAGGTTATTTTCTGGTTCTAAAACTAACTCCCCCTGCAGTATATGGTATTGAAGGAGCTGTGTTCCTCTCTTTCGAGACAAATTAGGAAGGTGCCTTGAAACTAAAGACTCAGTGTTGTACTTGATAAAGGAGAATCGCTTTTTTTTTTTTTTAAACTGTAGGGCAAGTGAGGTGTATTTGGAAACATATGGTGTGCTGCTTAGTTTGGAAAAAATAAATCAAAAGCAAGATGGTCTATGCAGTTGCCTCTTTGGGAGGAGGGGAAAGGCTCAGGATTAGAGGACTGTTTCTGCTCTTGAAGTAGTAGGTCCTTTTTGTAGCTGTTTGTGGCTTTGTCCTTAAAAGGCTTTCGTTAAACATCCACAGGTACCTAATGCAGATCTCATTAAGTAACTCCTCCTCAGCCAGAGGTGAAGAGTAGTGTCTGTCTGGGTTGCTCACAGGCAGCTGATTACTATCCTCCTTGTATAATTACTTCATTGCCTGCAGCAAATGTAGCCATTTGATGTTTTTCAAACTCTAAAATACTTCGGGTTCTTCTAGAGACAGCTCACATCTGAGATTGAATTGTCTCTAACAGTCAGCAGATCAGCAAATTAGTCTGTGACAGCCAAGATGTGCTTGTAGGGAGCAAAGACACCAGCTCTGGCCTCAGGACCAAGCAGGGGCTGTTTCCTGTTCTGTGTGGGCTTAGAGCATATGAACTTTAGGCACAACACAATCTTTGGGGAGCTGAACCAGCTACACACGAATTTGCAGACAGAATTTCCATCACTCTGCAAATTGGTTGAGAAACGGCAGTCAAACAGCTCCTTGGGTTGCAAGCTGCTGCCTGCATCTGGTGAGAGCCCCCTCAAAGGCAGCCAGCCCAGGTGAGAGGTGGAACATTGACCCTGTTTTGCTCCTCTGTTGGTGTGCTCCTGTTTTTTCCCTCATCTTGCAAAACAAAATCAGTTTCAAAGTCAGGTCACCTTTGAGTCCCTGAAAGATGGTGAAGCCCCTATCACCTTCTGTACTTGGCGGTTGGAAAAGGGACCTGGAACACCCTGCACTGAATCACCTTGCACTAAGCAATGAAGTTTTGAGCATGCTAAGCAGGTTTGCTAAAAGGACTAATATTTTCCCCTATTTTTTCACACCAGGAAAAGCACTTGCTTGTTTTCCACAAATTATGAAAACCGATCCTTTTTTTTTTTTTTACTTTTTTTTTTTTTTGAAAAATGTTTTGAACAAATAATCAGTCAGGCTCAAACTGAGTGTAAAAGAGAAGGTGAGCTCCATGTGAAGTTAGGTATAAAAGCATTTGCTGTGCAGAATGCAGCTGTGTGCACCATCTGCAATGCAATCACCAGCATGTTATATTTAGGAGAAAATATCTGGTTTTGGAAGTGTGTAATGGTACATGAACAACTTGCCAGATTCTGTGCCAAGACCTTGTAGCACAGCTGGAAAACTGAGAAAAGTCAGAAGTGATCTTTCTTTTATAAGCCCAAATCATGCAGAGAAAAAAAATTTCATGTGTTTTCTGCTGCAGGAGAAACTAAAATTGTAGGAGTACAGAGAAAGCTGGGGGGGGTGGGGAGGGGTGGGGTGGTCCTGCAATCCTCACAGCTGTCTGGTGTCCTGTTTTATTGTCAGCTCCTGACAGCTGGATTTATAACCGAATGCCTGGACAATCTCATTCCATGTCCAACAGGTGGAAGCACCCTTACCCAAATTCTTCCATGGCTCTTAGGAGCCACATCAGTTAAGCAAAGGGGGGAGGGAGTCTGGGGGCTCAAGCTGGGTACTCAGTTGCAGTAGCCAGCTGCCCCTTTCTAATTTTAGAAAGGGTATGCAAGCGTAGTATGGAGTGGAAAACTTTCCAAACCTCTCTCTTAAAGCTGCAATAACTAAATTAGCGTAAAATGAGATTATGGCTCTTTAGTTTTAACTTACTGTCTCCATCCGCCACTTCCAGCACTTGGGCAGTGCTTGTTATCTCTGTTGCTTCACAGTTTGGTGAGCAGGTAATCAAACTGGAGTGTGTTCAGTTGTTGCTCTTCTCTCAGCTGTGTCTGCTTGCAGGTAAATGGTTTCTTTATTTCTAATCTTGGAGAAGTTCACAAGATTGCTTTATGAGAGTGTCTTTCTCTTTTGTGTGATGTTTGCCTGTCAGAGCTTTCTGCTCATTGGTAGAGGATCTTTGAAAAAGTAATCCAAAGTTTTACAATTATGTTCCACTGACAGATAAAGAGAATGGAAGCCGTATAGAAGCAACTCCAGTAGACAAACATTGCCTTTTAATTTTATTTGACCCACTGAAATCAAATGATTTTCATGTTTGGGAAAATCCTAGTGCGATGTCTTGTTTGCCTGAAGATGAAAAGGAGGAGCATGAAACTAGATTAACTGCTTCCAAGCAGAAAAGAGAAACTGTTTAAAAGCATAATTAAAGAGGTAGTGCATTACAAAAGTGCTGAATAATTTAAACAGGCTGCCAATCCAGCAATATTAAGCAGTAAATTTAAGCAAAGGTGATGACAGGGAATGTAATAATTTAATTTGCCCTTGTCTGTGATCAGGGCTTCCATACACTGTAGTAATATTGTTTTCATTGACTGAAATTGTCGTCATTATTATTATTATTACTCAGTCTTCTGCATTTGGGAGGAGCAGGTTTGCTCTTTAGGACTCAGGAGGGAATCAGGCACCATGTACTACTTTTTCCCATTGGAACTGTGCTTCTCTTTGGGTGTTGATATTTTTT